TTTTTTTTTCATCTCAATTGTAATCCCCATGGGTTTCCCATCACCAAATCACCCCTGTGCCACCACCATCTCTGAGGGTTTTTTAATGAGTGAATTTGACATTAGCAGATGACTGTCCACAGTGTGGGTCATTCATTCCCTAAGGTCTGTGAGAACAAGCTTGACTCCATGGAGCAGAGGGAATGCAGCCAGCAGGTGGCAGCAACCGCGCCTCGGCTCTCCAGACTGCAGGCCCACTCTGGATTTTGGAATTGCCGGCCGGCCTCCATCATCATGAGAGCCAATTGCTTCAAATAAACCTCTTTCTATGTACATACCACATGGGTTTTGTTGGTCTGGCTAACACAGAGTTGTCATTGGGGTTAATGATTCATACATGTAACACCTTTAGAACAGGGCAGGGATGGTGGTCACTAGCAGACTGTTCACACATTTCTGGGTTCAGCTTCAATGATGCCTGTGCTTGCCCCCTCTTTGAAGTCACCTCTAGCTATTTAAAATATCTTCAGGACAGGAGTGTCCGTTTGGTGTCCTCCCAAATCAGATGCTCTTTCCTTAGAGCCGGCATGGAGGGAAGTGGGACACCCAACTCCCTGTCAGCAGTGATTCCTCCTGGGGGCTCCTAACAATCCTTATAGCCCTAAGTGGGAGCTAAACCCTGGGCAACAACTTCTGGGATGGACCGTGAACTATTGACACCACCTGTGCTTCTTGGTGGAGAGGAACAGAGCTTCCTCTAGTGGATCAGAGCTTCCTCTAGGGGAATCTAGATTTTGCCTTGAAAATGAGATAAATTTGGACCAAGCACTGGGTTCTGTTCTGTGCAATGTGATACTGAGCAAGGCAACAAAACAAATAGTTCTGTCCTCACAGTATTCTCCGTACTTATGAAGGGCTTAAAAGGGGACTTGGGCCACTTGGAGAAGAAACACACTCTCAAGCAAACAGGGCGTATTTGCCCTTAAGATACACAGTACACCTCCCTGGTGCCTCAGAGGGTTAGGAACCAGCACTGCAAGCAGGCCTCAGCTGCTTCAGTGTGAGTTCTATCCCCAGACCCGAGGTGACCCACATGGCGTGGCAGGCCTCTCCTGACCCGCCCGCTGCTCCCCTCAACAGTGTGCTTCATCTATCTGCCTGTTCTGTTCCCCACTCTGTCTCTGGTGAAGTCTCTCACTTCCCCTGCACCTCTGGCCTGTACCCCAGTTCTGTATGCATAAATAAATCTTTTAAAAAATGAGAAAATTAAAAAAATAGTTAAAAAAAAAAAAGGTATACAGTATACCTGCCACACTGAGCAGGAAACAGACAGCTGAACTGGAGCCCTTCAAATCAGCAAAATAACTGTGAGGACTTTGTCATCTCGGAAGTAGAGATGCAGAGTTCTGAGGAATTTATACCTTCTGCAGAGGCTTGTCTTACTGGGGCCTGAGAGCAGTTACCACTACCTGGACCCTAGGAAAGAGTCTCCTCACGTGTGGGTGACCTGCTAGACTCCACCTTCATAGTAAGACAGCTCCCAGAGCTGGGTACAACATACTCACCTCCAGATGAGTTGAAAACAACATGGGTAGAAATGTTTTAATACCAGCACATTTCAATAATTAGATTACTGATTCACTAGGGCCATGAGAGTGGTCTGCTAACTTGGGAATCATTACTAGAGAACCAATTAGTAAATGGACTGTTTGGTGGCCATGAGAGATTCATGTATGTATTTTGGAAGAGTTTTGGAAATGGAATCTATAGGTCACCTGCAAATCCTCACTCAATACCCCACATGACTATGGTGGCAGTGGAAATAAACTGACAAACAGTGGAGACATGGTTTTGCCCCCAGAGAGCTTACTGTCTAGTGTGTGGGGGCGACCAGCACCAAAGCTGGGGGGACAGGGCCACGCACACATGCCTTGTTGGGTGGGGACACAGTTGCCTTGGGGGCACAGGGCAGTGGACCTGAGCCAGGGGTAAGGCCAGGTCTCATAGGAGGAGGCGTCTCAGTGAGGCCTCGCTCAATCCCCCGCGGCTTCTCCTCCCCTCTCCTGGCTCCGGGACTCCATGTAGACTCCAGTGACAGCACAGACAACAGAACACACAAAAAATGCAAGTAGACAAGTAAAATAAATCAGATTTTGTTCTCATCACATACCATTCAAACCCCGCCACTCCAAGATGTCCATTGTCATTATCACAGCAGAAGTGGCCAGGGCCATGTCCCCTACCCCTTCCTCTGGGGATGTTCTGCCAGGTCCTCAGGTCCAGCTCTAGCAGGTGCTGTCACTCACCTGGGCAGCTGCCTGTGAAAGCCAGGGTGCAGCTGGGTGCCTAGGTGGCACCCCGGGGCATGGACATCACTGCCCAGCAGACAGGTTACCAGAGTTCACAACAATTACAGCGAGAGGCAACTCAGGTCTGCTACTTTAGAGATGAAGAAACTGAGACTCAAGAGCCACCAGGAGGGCAGGACTCATGCAGGGTGCAGAAGTCCCCCGCCAAGCTCAGCCAGAGCCCTCAGCGTCCTCCACTGTCCCCCCTCTCCCAGAGTTCACCAATTAGATGGGGGTGGGTCTCCTTCAGGGCCTGGTAGAGGCGGTCTTTGCAGGCCCAGTCCCAGGCCCTGCTGAAGCTGAACAGCTTGCGCATCTGGGCCGGCTTGGTGGCCTCGGCCCTGACGGCCTCATACTGCTCCTCACTCAGCACCTCCCCGAGCAGCTTGTCCAGGACAGGGTCCACGGAGGTCACTCGCGCCACCAGCTGCTCCCGACACTGGTCCACAAAGTGTAGTAAGGCCGGGGCGTCTGGGGGTGAAGATGAGGCGGGATGAACCAGGAGGAGCACCCGCGGCAGCCTCTGCCGGAGCCACCTCGACTCTTCATCCTCCTCGTCTGCATCTCTGGCGCCCCCACCCCTGGGATGCACCTGTCCCTCCCTGGTGTCAGCAGCTAGGCTGGCATCCTGCCTGAGCTGGGCAGGCGTGGGGTGGGGTTCATGAGGCACTGAGGCTCCTGGGAGGTGCAGGCTCCATGGGGGGTATGGGGGCATGGGGCCCGACCCGTGGGGTTTGCCATGTCCCTTCCTTCCGTCCAGGGCCACAAAGTGCCCAGAGCTGCCCTGGCTCCTGTGTCTCTCGGCTGCTACTGACCTGTCGGGGCTACAGGAACCGGTGTGGCTGCTGGTCTGAGGTTTCCTGAGGACAGAGAGAAGCATTTGTGACAGCGGGGTTCCGAGTCCCACATCTAAAAAAGGGGTTCTGAGATTCTATTATTCTGAGTACAAGCTATGGACATTGTGATGGGATCTGCATAAGGGCGGGAAGTCTTGGGGATCATCTAGGTGAATTCCTTCCTTAGGCAAATGGTGCCATTGAGGCCAAAGGACATAGTATGAGAGAGAAATGGAGAGACGGAGAAGAGGGAGCTCCAGCAGCATCCCCACCCCCTGCCAATATTTTAGACTTGGTTATATCCAGTCTTGATCTGAATGAAACCCTCGTGCAGAATTAAGCAAGCGTCTTGCTGAAAAGATGAAACTATTTGAGATCTGGTATCCTGAGCAAAAATCAACCTGTTTTGGCTTCTAGATTCTTGTAGATCAAATATGTTTGTTCTGGACATCAGTATTAGAATCAGTCATTGAGGTCAGGAAAAACTTAGCACTAGAAGTAATGTATAATTGTTAGCAGCTAGGGAAAAGCAAAAATCACCACCGCCACTAACAAAAGAATGGCTTTGCACAGTTACTTGCATTAAATAGGAAGAGGGATCCATGTCTGCTCCTACGCACAAAAGCTGGGAGTTGATCACTCAATTTCAGTGTCACCTGAATGTGGGGAGGAGGCCACAGACAGGGGAGCTCAGGTCGTGGTGCTGGGAGCAAGGGGTGCAGGGTGGAGGGTGAGTGCGTCATCGTCCTCCATGGTGTGGATGGCCTCAGAGTCCACCCTGATCAGCCGCAAGTGGCAGCGTCTACTGTGGGAAGGTGGCTGGGACAGCAAAGGATTTTCACCCCCATATAAGGAACTGGAGATCTCAAATACATGCAAGGGAGACTTAAGGCAGCCAATGAGCAGCTGTCACGCACCTGAAGGGCTTTTCCATGAGAAGGGGACAGATTCTTCTGTCAGCTTCAGGGAAAGAACTAAGACTCAGAGGAGGAAGAGGTCAGATGAGGAAGAAGAATCAGATTGCGGTAGTTCCTAAGAACCGCTGCTTAAGACATGCACGGTCATTGCATTTAATCTTTCCAACGTCCCACGAGTTAGGCAATCATTTTACAGATGAGGAACCTGAGACTCAAGAGAGTAAATTACCCAAGATCACCCTGCAAGTGAGAGCCAGAGTGGGACTCAAAGCTAGGTCTGCGCTGGGGCTGGTGGCTCTCGGCTGTGGTGGCCTCTAAAGCTGTGCCTGAGTTAAGGCCACACTGTGCAGCCTGTTTGCAGTGGTGCAAGAGGCAGATTCTCGCCATTTCAACAGCCGACAAGGCTGGATGTCCCTAAAAGGACTAAGAACTACTAAGGGTTACTTAGGGGACCTGATTCTTGGACTAAGAGATTTTAAGATTTCTGCCACTCCCAAAACTCCACTATACTTCCTAGTCATCTTCCTGGAAAATATCTGAAAATCCAGGTCAGGCTATCTGGTATAGATATTGGCTAATCCATACATCCATATAATACCTAGGTATTACTGTTCATCGTATGTACAAGCTGTCATAAGAAAGTTTTCCAAAGGCTTTGAGCTTGTTACACTCTGTTGATTCAGGGTAGTATGAATACTCCATGGTACAGGGGGGTGATCAGGGAGCAAATATTTACTTGAATGCAAATTCTGGTTATGTGATATGACTAGAAAAAGCCATGCAAGTTCTCTGAGCTATTTCTTCTCACCAGCCAATATGTGTACACACACACACACACACACACACACACACACACACACTGACTTTCTCCGACTGCTGAGCTGTCTGGACTTGTCTTGATTTACCTGGTTTCACCAAGGTCTCCCACACCACGGTCCCATCTTTCTTGTTCTTTATTTGCAACCGGATCCCCGACTCCGACTGTCCAACATAGATCTCACTGAAGAGCTGCATCTCCCTGGGGCTCCGATAGCAGAGCTCTAGTTCCTGAGCAGAGAAAGAGCCGCTTGGTGAGGAGTCATTGTTCATCCTACAGGGATTGTCCTTCTCAAGCCAACACCTGCTAGATCCTGCTTAGCCCCCTAGGGACACTCAGGTGATCTGCACTGAAATATCTGCTGCTTGCATGCACTCACTGCTCTTTCTTTCTAAGTCCTTTCTTTCTGCAAATCCTGACTCAGAATCAAAGACCTGGCATAAACAAGCCAGGACTCATCTTAAATGTAGTGATCACACACCCTGTCCAGATCCTTCTCCCTGCCTCTCCCTCATCTTCAACCCAGTCAGACAACTGATCAAGAGAAACTCTCCATTGTCTTAGATTCTCACAAATTACTCAAGGAAGCCCCAACTCTTACAATAGGTTCTTTGTAACACCCTCCACTGAGAGGCCCCAAGGATTCCCATGGAGTGTGTTTTCTCTCTACAAGTACTAAATCAGTGTGTTCTGGTAGTTTTGACTTAGGGCCAGGACCCTCTATAGCCCAGCACCTCTCAGTGCCTCCAAGTCACCACCTCGTTCCTATTGCATGGGACCCCCCCATTCAGCTCTCCCCAAATTGACTTACTCTCTGCTCAACCCCAGTGCCCTCTGTCCCTGGAAAAGCTCTAACTCCTGGCCCACAGGTATCCCCAAGCTTGAGCTCTGATCCTGGTGAGTGGTGACCATAGGCTCTGTGTCACCTGGGGGATGATCTCCATCTCCTCTGAACCAGACACGGTGAAGCGGGAGCCCACGTACAGGGGGGTCAGCGGGGGAGGCTTGTGTATACGCACAAACTGGAACTTCTTTTCTTCATCATCTATGGCCTAAGGTGCAAACAGAACTACGGTCAAGGGAGGAGGGCTTCTGGCCCAGAGACTCTGCCTTAAGGTTTCTGGTTAGAACAAAGGGAAATGGTATTTCTGTGCTTATGTGGGTGGAGGGAGCTATACCACCCCTCCCCCTCCCCAGCCATTCATGGTCACGTTGTGAGCACACACGTGGCCTTTTCTACTTTCAGGGTAGGGGTAGGGTCACTGCCAAAGAGGAATGTGTGAGGGGGAAGGCACAACTCTGGGCATGGAGCCCTCTCAGCCTTTGACTCCTGGGAGGCTTGTCCAAAGCTCAGTGATGGAGCAGTCAGCCTGGCTGGGGAAGTTTTAGGGAGCCAGGACACCAGTCCATGGCTGAGCAGGGGCAGGCGTCTTCATCCACTTCAAGGTTTTTGCTTGGAAAGACGCATCTTTATTCTCAGCTGGCCTATTCTGTGTCTCTCAGCTGCTTTTCATGTTTGCTGCCAAGCCCCAGCCCCCTGCCACTGTTACCACCTTCCGGATGGAGCAGTCACTGGGGATCAAGTAGAGGTGGAAGGTGACTTCCTCAGGGTGGAGGTGATGGTAGAGCAACACGGTGGAGGTGATGGGAATGAAGTTCAAGGCAGCTTGGATCATTCTCAGTACAACCCCCATGGGGGAGAAGCTGGGGTTCTCCAGGACTGTGTAACACGCCTCTACCCTGGCTGGCTTCTCCAGCAGCATCCCCTCCTCTGTGAAGTGGGCCACGTGGAACTGGGAGGGGTCCACGTGGTCGCCTGTCAAGGAGGGGATTCAAGAGGTGAGGGTTTATTGCTCCAGGCTTGGTGGGGAAGTGGGATCCTGAAGAGCAGACCTATGGGTCCCTGGCAGGGTGAGGTGGCATGCCTGAGCTCAGGCCTTTGGGCTGAGAACTACTGTGTCCTTTCCGTTTTTGATGACTTGTTCTCCAGTCTTTGGTTAAGTCTGATAGCCACTCAAGAATTACCCTACACATTTCCCACACTAAATCAGTCAGAATTGATGTATTTGATTAGTACCAACAAGCCTGACCACAGCACAGACCCGACCATAGGACACTGATGCAATGAAGAAGCTTGAGGGGTGCAGGCTGGTGGTGGGGAGACACTGGCATAGAGGTCAGGGGTCCTGGCTTCATCCCCAGGTTGCCAGACAACTGCTGCAATGAGGTGAGGTGGTTTCTGGACAACATAATGACATCAGTGACACAATGACATCCAGTCGGCTGGACTAGGCCCTGGAGAGGCTGGAGAGGCACCAATTAGGACATCACTGAGTGATGGTAATGCCAGAAGGGGCCCTGAGAAAGTTTTTTAAGTTTACTCATTCATTAAATTCTTCTTTTTGTGTGAAAAATAGTATCACAGTGCAGGTAATTGTAATATGTAAAAATGCAAGTTCACCTCTCACCTAACCAAACAATCCAGTATGATAACCATCTTTCCCTTTTCCTCTAGCCTTTATCTGACCTTTTTTCCCCATTATGAGTTCAGATTGTCCCACCTCTGTCAGATCTCTCTAGGGACTATACAGCATCCACTCCCACTAGTGGACACATCATCTGTAGTCCACTCCACTGCTCGTTCCTTGTTTCAGTGTTGGGGTTACTTCCAACTTTCTCCATGATAACAGTCCCACACAGCACACATTCCTGAAGAAGCTTTTCTAGTTCCCTGGAATTCTTGCCTTGCTCCACGAGTCTCAAGATCTGAGAAATGTGTGAAAGGATGTGAATGTTTTAGTCACTTGTCATGCTTTCCACATGCTTCTCTAGGAGCTGCTGCCACTGTGAACTCACTTCACTCTCCACAGCACTGGAATGTTCCCTTTGTCAGGTGGGGGTGGGTGGGGCCTGGAGTGCTTTCCATGGTCATGAGTCTGTCCAGCCCTGGACCCGATTCCTGCACCCAGACTCCTCTCCATGGCTCCGTCCCGTGCTGAGGTTGACTGGATTCTGGAAGGTACATGTATCTTCACATTGCCTTTTTGTTAGGTGGGACCAACTGTCTTGGTGTGTTCAGGGATTTCCCTGCTAAATCGGGAAACATCTCAGAAAACCCCAATCCTGGGGTGAGGTGATCAGATCACTGACCTCCTGCACATGTTGCCTTTTCTTTAGTCTGCGGCAGTCATTTTCTCCAAACCTGCTTGCTGACTGTGCACTTGTGCTGCTAGATTGGGGAGAGAAGGACGAAGACAGGGACGACCCTGACCTTCAGGGAAGCAGCTGGGTGGTGGCTGGGAAAGTGTCACTGGCAGCGAGTCCTTCTCCCTGAGCACCTTTGCCTGGCCTGTCTAGGCACACTCAGGGCTGGCTATCATGGAAGGGGCCTTTCCACAGCTGGCCTGGCTGACCCCGAGCTTCACCAACCCTTATTAAACCAAAGTGCTCAACAAATGTTTCTTTGTGCTCAACAAACACAGGCCTGTGGATACAGCTGTGAAGGGGGATAAAGCCACGGCCATCTGGAGCTCAGGCCCCTCAGGGAAGACAGGCAGTGACCAGGGTAGGGACCCTGATGTCCCCAGTGCTGCCACTGCTGCTCTCCAAGGCCATGTCTCCACTGCTCCCTCTCCAGGAATTGAGTGCCTCTCGCCTTTAGACCTGACCTTGGGCCTGTGGCCTGATCCCAGGGTAATGATACAGGTGCTAGAGTTTTCCCTCAGAGAAAGCCCTCACCAGCTCTGAGCTGAGCCAGTGACCTAAGTTGCTGTGCATCCTCTGCAAAGTGGAGCCACCAACAGCATCACCTTCCACAGTGACTGTGACGATTAAGTGAGCTTGTGTCTATAAAGCATTTAGGGCAGCATGGGTTATCTGCCATGTTAGTGCTGAAATGCAGCTTCTCCGAGAGCATCGCAGCCTGCAATTTGGATCATTGTATTTCCCCCTCCCCCAAACACCCTGGCCCACTCCTCCTGGGAACATTGGCGTCTGGGAGGAAAAGGTGCTAAGGTCCTTGGAAGATGCATTTTGCTCATCCTGAGACATTCCAGATTCTGTGGTACAGTTCAGAGGCGTTTTTCCAGGCTGAAAAGCTTGAGGAGATGGGATACATGGTGGTTTCCAGCAATCAGTGCAGGTGTGCTCCCGCCCAGGTGGGGAGGGCAGAGGGGGCTGGGAGCGATCGCCCAGGTGACTGTGGGAATGTCCTCCTGCCCTGTGGGCAGCCCAGCGAGCAGGCCAGTGGACTAACTTCTCAGGAGGATGGGCCCTGCAGGGAGTCGGGGTCTGAGTTGCTGAAGGAGGTGGATGGTGGGGGTGTGGGATCCAGGCTAGGATGGCTTCGTGGACTCATGGTCTGTGCAGTCACACAGAGTGCCATGCTCTGAATGGCCTCACACCTGCATAGTGTGGCATGTTACCATCTTCAAGCTCTTAATAACTTAATAACTTTTAAACAAGTGAGCCCACATTTTCATCCTCTGTTCCCCTGTGGAGCTGGTCCTGTAGGAGGTGAGAATGCCCAGGAGTCAAGGTCTCTGGGGTGAATCTAAGATGCTGGAAGCTCTGAGCTCTGTGTTTAGCAGGAGAATTTCATCAGAGAAGGTTGATAGCTTGGTATGGAAACTCCCTACGATGGTGAAACAGGCAGCGCCTTTGTCCTGAATCAGGCCGCACTAGACAGTGAATGATCGTCTTGGATAGCAAAAAGCTGGGCCCAGACCATAGGCACCGGGGACACCTGGAAGGGGCTTGGTTTCTAAGCTGGGCATAGAATAGGCAATCTACAAGCCAGTTCTGTATGTTTTGTTGCTTACTCTGTGTACAGAATCCAAATGGACAGTCCTCTGTGGCCACAGATCTTGGTCCAGAATCAACCGAGAGGAGGCTGGGGAGAAAAGGGCCCAGGCAGACCTGGGTGAGTGTGGGTTTAACTCTTATTCTGGTTTTGAATTCCAATTGTGGTCAAGCCTTTTCATGAACCTGAGCCTCAGTTTCCTCTCTGGTTCATCAGGAGGAGACACTGGGTCCTCATGACCCAGACCATGTGGGTCACCTCCCTGGCCGGGGATTGAACTCGTGCTGCAGTGGTGACACATCACTTCACAGTGCTGTGCTTTAACCCATTACACCACCAGCGAGGGCCCTGATTCTACTTCTTGTAATTTCTGCTATTTCTCCTTTATGGAGCATTTTTCGCTGTAAGAATTTTGATTGTGAGCTCACAATGTTTTGCAACTTTATCTGTGAGAAATCTTGTAGGTGAGAAAGCTTGAGCAGTCCCTGATCTTTCATGGTTCAGTTTTCAGATGCATATTGGTGCACTGGCTTTCTCCCTGCCTCTGGGAGTGGTATGACTTTCCTCTGCTTGCTAGTCCCTAAGAACTCAACACTGTTAATTCTCTTACTCTTCCTTTGAAAACAGTCCTGTCTTTTGAAAGTCTCCTCAGAGATGTCAAACATACTGTATTTGTTTCCTTCTGGGAACTTTAGAGATGTAACCTGTATAAAAAGCACTGAGTAAATGCTAGTTATTACTATTATTATTGAGGACACTACGTTCCATTTAGGGAAACTTTTAAATAATTCAGTCAAAAAAGACAGGATATTAGGAGACTAAAGTGCTTCCCAAAACATGCCTAGAGCACAGTGGGATGAGGGAAAAACTGAATCTGCTCTTGATCCCCTCTCACTCTGGGGAAGCAGTGAGCTCCTCCCTCAGGACATGGCATCAGAAGCCCCTTGAAGATCCATTATCACCCCCATCAGGGTAAGCAACCTCCACCCTCCCTCTGCCTACCTTCGAGGGACACGAAGTGAGGCAGGTACACAGCCTCCACGGCTCCTGGGTCCGCCTTGATGTCAAACAGCGGTCCTGCCACCATCCAGGTGTCCTGGGGGACAATCGTGTCCAGGAGCTGGTCCCAAGCACAGAATTCAATCTCAATAGTCACTTCCCTTCTCACCACAAAGTGGAGACCCGTGTTGGGCCAGTGGTAGGAGCCGGCCGTGGGGAGGTGAGCTCTGGGTAGAAGAGGTACAGGGTGACACTGGTCACAGACTCACCGGGCATCTTCTGGACACCCGAGCCCATGCAGGGCTGGCAGACCTAGGAGGGCGGCTGCGAGCCCAGGGACAGCAATCAGTTGGGTGTGGGTTTGAGCCCAGCTCCTCTGCTCTCTGGAGGTGGGTCCTGAGCATGAACAGAACCTCCCTAACCTCAAAATCCCTATCTGTCCCATAACTAGGGACAAGGAATGGTTTAGAATGGACTAGTAAGTGACCTATACATGGGGGCAGCTTCACCCAGGCCAGGGTGGGGAGCTGTTTCTCTAATGATGATGATGAAGTGCCTTTGTTCTTAAGGGGCCTGTTTGCTGATAAATAACAACTGCATGCTGACGTTGATAAGAAAGACTTGGAGCTGAAACAACAGTTTACAGAGATCAGGAGTGATTTCCCCAAGGCTCCCAGTGTGACAAATGGTGGGTGTCAGCTGCGGTTGTGCATGTTGGGAGTGACTTCCTCTCCCAGCTGAGATCATGTTTGTGGCAGTGCTTGTGAAAGTGATGTAAGGAGCCAGGATCGTGATTATGGACATTTATCACTCATGACTGGGAACCTCAGGGGTGCTGAGTCATTTCTACCTCAGGTGCCAGGTACAAAACCAGGACCCAGCATATAGTAGGTGTTAGTAAAACCAGAGCAGGGAGAAGAAAAAAGGTTACATGAGAGTTAAGAGATACAAAAAGTCAAAGGGATTCAGACATAAAGAATCAAATGGATTCTGCTTAGAAGAGCCAGCTGTGCAGAAGTGTTGGATGTCTCAGGGGATGGGAAAGGCTGGCGTGATGGTGGCATCTGGTTGTGGTAGAAAATGTTTTTGTTTGTATTTTTTCAAAATGTGTCAAAAATATGTAAGGATTGACATTGGACTTAAAATACTATAGAAACAAAATAGGGAAATCTAATAGTTTAAACGACCTTGGCAAAATGCTGAAGCTGGGTATGGCTCAGAGGAAGTTGCTTGTATTCTGTTGCTGTGTATGACAGACAGTTTTCATAAGTAAACCTCTTACCAATAAAGGCTCTGGCACAGTAGTTTAGCTCTGACCTTTCATGGTGGTTTGGAAAGGGGAGGGGACACCCTGGCCTGCAGATGGGGTAGAGAGACTCTGGGGGAACCCATCTGGGGATGATGATGTGTCAGAAGCCATCCTGCTGAAAGGCAGGCAGAGCCCCCTCACTCACCGGTATAAGTTCTTCTCTTTGTCAATCACTTCTGTAGCCACAGCCCCCTGGGGGCCCAGGAACTCATCTTCAGGCCCCAGAGGCTCCATGTGCGGCTCAGCCAGAAGGCCAGGAGAAGACAGACAGAGGGTTTCGGCCTGCGTTACTCGGAGAGGACTTCCTTCTGGAACAGACAGGGCAGGGTCAGCCCTGGGACCTTCCATGAGGTCTTCCCTAGCCCTTAAGCTGGGAGATTGACAGGCCCTTTCCAGGGAGGCCTGAACCACAGCAGGGAGAGTGTCTGCAGCCCTCGTCCCTGCTCCTTGGCTGCCTGCCTGCTGAGAGGCTGCCTCCGAGCACCTGCCACTCTCCCAGCCCCCTGTTCCTGAGTCTCTCCCCCAGTAGGCTCCAGGCAGGCAGGTTGTGAGAAGAATGGGGGTCAAATGAGAGTCAGGCAGGGATGGGGGCTGATTCCCAGGTGCCAGAAATCCTTGGGCCTTAACAGACAGGTCCTGGCTCAGAGTCCGGCATGAGGATGCTCAGGGGAGGAGTCATCCGCGTGGGAGGGAGAGAAATCAAAACCAGGACCTAGAGTGGATGGGCTCTCCTGGGGGCTCCTGCCCTATGCGTACCCAAGATTGTGGGGGGATGACCTTCGCCCAGCCCTTTTCTCCTCCATCTTCCCAATAAGGCTGCTGCCAGGCCCTCACATCAAATACCTAATTCTGGTCTTTTCCGCTTGAGTGAGGATGCATGATTGCTCCACTCTCCTCCTCTGGGGTCCTCGTCAGGGCTGGTCACACTTGGCTCCCTGGATAGAGTTGTTCATATTCCTGAGATCTGGGAGTCACTGGAGCTGTCTCCATGATATCCCCCTTAAAACTCACTGAGTGTGAAGTCACAGGATGTCCGAGCCTTTCCCTCAGTCCCTGTCTCCTTACATAGGTGCCCCATCCACGCAGCCACCCCTTCCAGGACTGGGGTGTCATCCTGACTCAGCCCTCACCTGCTCTGAGAGCTGATGGATCACCTTGGTATGACCTCCAAAATATCCTCCTCTCTCTTCTCTTTTCTCACCTGCACATTGTCCCCTGGTCCCAGGCCCTGGTGTCTCTGCAGGAGCCACTGCTGTGTCTTTGTCCCTCCCAGCCCACCGTCTACACAGCAGCTGATCTTCATTTGAACCTGGTCTATCACATCACGGCTGAAGACCCAAAAAGATCCCTATTGCTTTTGGGGTAAAATGTAAAGTTTTTACTATTCTCCAGTATTAAAATACTGTACCCCTATTCTTCCTCCAACCCCTCATGGAAAAGCTCTCCTGCTCACCCACCTCCAGACATGATTGTTTAATTTGGTGTCAAAAATCACCAGGACGGCTAGTCACAACAAAGATCCCTTGGCCACCCAAGGATTCAGATCCAGCAGGTCTGCGGTGGGCTCCCAGAAATTGCATTCCTAAGGTGCTTCCAGGGTGGGGACATAGTGCTGCTGCAGACCCCTGGCAGCCCCCCCACCCCCAGGAACTGAGCCCTGAGCCTCTGCCTGTGCTTGGATCCACTCTTCTGTGCCCAGCTCACCCTCCCTCCCACCCTCCCTGCTCTCAGAGCTCCCCCTCCCACCCTCCCTGCTCTCAGAGCTCCTATAGGGTTCAAGAGGCCCATCAGTACTCACAGACCCCAGATGCAGCCAGGCAGGCTGGGGAGTGAGTGCAGGGACTTGTCCTGCCTCCCACTGGGCTGGGCTCCTGAGGGCCCACCTTTGCTCCCTGCTGGGCACCTCACACTCTGTGGGCCTCAGGGCTCCTTGCTCAGGATCAATGGCTCCTCCTCCTTAGCCTACAAGCCCTTTCCCTCTATTTCAGGGTACAGCAGTCAGTTCCTGGGGACATCTGTACTTTGCAGTTATGTGGGAAATGCACAGAACAAGGAGAATGGCGGGGCTCAGCAGATTCCCCAGGGAATCTGCTCCTGGGCCTTGCCCCTCAAACCCAGTGTAAGTCCGTGTGTGTGTCAGGCTGATAGATGCTCTTTCCCCAACTCTCCTTTCTCATTCTTGGCTCCCCAGCCACCATCCCCTCCCACCCCCCTTTGGCTTCCATGCTCCAATTTGCTTCCAGCAAACAAACACACAAACAGCCCCCTCTCTGGCTGCAGTGGTTTCTAGGTGTTTTCCTGGGCCTGTATAAGTCACTACTAGACTTTTTCTAACCTCTTGGCTCTGAACCAGCCCTGAGCCCTGTGCCAGCAGGAGGGAGTCTGTCACCCTCTTCACTCTCCCCGACTCCCACACCCTTACTGTGTCCTGGAGATGTGCAGCTGAGGCTTCTCCTCCTCCAGGGCCCGCAGCATCTCTGTCACCTCCTCACTCAGCCGGTCCTGGTCCAGCCTGCAAGCACAGAGGCAGCTGGTTCTCTCAGGACCCCACCACACCCAGGCTCCTCAGGCCCAACCTCCCGGAATGTGCCACTTCCCACACAGACCTGCTGAGGTGGTGGCTCCTGGGGGTCAACTTGGAGATGGAAAGCAGAGTATAGAGATGTCACAGGGACAGGATGTGGGGGTGCTGGAGGCCCTGGCAGCTCCCTTAGAGTGTGATGGGCCAAGCCGGGACCCACAGGAAGGTGGATCAGACACAAAGAGCCTCTGGCCTTGTTTTCAGGATGCGGAGGAAAGGAGGATCCAAGAGACTAAGTGGGGAGGGTCTGCCTTGCCTTTCTCTCTCCTCAGGGCTGTGCCTTGACTGGGCTGGGAAGCTCCCATTTTTGCTTCAGGTCTCAGCCTGATGTCATCGCCTCAGAGAAGCTTCTGGGGCCCCTGATTCTAATTCTATCTCTCTCCTCCTCCCCTTTTTACACTCATGACTTGCCATATTTCCCTTCACAGCTTCCACACTTGGAGCTTAGAAACACCCTGTGTATTCACATGTGGGTAACCCTCATCCTGTTCCCACTGGGGTGAAGTTTGGGGTGGGATCATCTCGGCTCACACTGTGTCCTCAGTGTCTGCCCATGCTTGGCACATTGCCGGGAGAGGGGTGGTGGGGGAGGGGAAACATTGGATGAATAAAGGAAGCACTGGTCTGGATGAGAAGTATAACTTGGCATTTGTGGTCTAATATTTATCTTCTTAGGCTGATTAATTCCCTTCACTGTCTTTGGTTTAAATGCATTTTACTTCATTATAGTCTATCAGTGGAAATGACAGTCCCATTGCACTGATGATAAAACCAAATCTCGAGAAAAGATTGGTCTGAGTCACCGTCGTGGTGAGTCTGTGAGGAAGCCAGCTGGCTGCACAGGCACCTGTTCCTTCCTCCCCTCTCTAGTGCCACTGTGACTGGCTCCCTTGCCTTCCCCCGCCCCCCACCCCCTGCCCTGAAGGCCCAGGTCTTACCCCAGGAGCCTGAGCGGACAGGCAGGCTGCCTGAGCCCGTCACAGAGCAGCCTCACGCCCCGGTCACCCAGGTCATTCTGCTGCAGGTGCAGCTCCGTCAGGCAGGGGCTGGTGCTGAGCACAGAGGCCAGGGCCTGGCAGCTGCTGGAGGTGAGGCCGCAGCGGACCAACCTGTGGGGAGATGCAGAGGGTGCAGTCACTGTCCATGGGCAGTGAGGCCAGCTCAGTTCCTAGCTCAACTATAGGCTTATGGAATCCTGGTGACCACTGGTGGCTGCTGGGCACGGGGGAGTATCCAGCACAGCCTGGGTCCTCGATATTCATGGACTAAAACCATGTGAAGAGGATGGGAAAGCTCAGTGAGGAGGAGCAAGGTTGGGGGGAGGGTCTGTTTATTCCTCTGCTCCCAACTATCCCTGCCCTGTACTGCAGTGTGGTGGTGACAGAGGTGCCCCAAGGGCAGGGGCTGTCATTGGGGTGCTTGGGAGGCAAGCTCATTGTGACCATTTAATTGCAAGTTTCCCTTGAAGAGCATAAGCTTCTCAGAGGGCAACATTAGCAAAGGATACACCCTTCCCCAACAGTTCTCAGAATTTCACTCCTCAAGGACCTGCACCACAGGGCCCTTCTCAGATCTGTTATACATTTGTTAGTGTGGGTTCTTGATTAATGTGAGTTTGTGGGAAAGAGTGATAAAAGAATCCTGCCTATGTGTATTTACCATAAATTGGCACTTAGCACAGTGCATGGCCAGAAGCGTCTCAAAGATGCTTCCTTCTTGGAACTCCTGCCCACCCGCATCAGAGCAGAACCCAGGCGGACTCACCGCAGGGTCTCCAGAAGGCAGCGGGGGCATCTCAGGGCCTCACAAAGACTCTGCACTGCAGAGCAGCTCAGGAAGTTTCCACTGAGGTCCAGCTCTGTTAGGTTCCCAGGGATCCTGGGGATGGAGAAGAGAATCTGCCAGCAGGCATCTGTGATTTGGAAGCGAGTGAGCCTGAGAAAGGGAGAGAGGAGTGGGGGTGATATAATTGTGTGGGGGGTCGCAGGTGTGCAACCGCACAAAGGCCAGGGACTCTGCCACTCTGGGCCCAGGGCCACTCTGGGTAGTGCCAGCCCAGGACCAGCCTCCCCACGTGCCCCTCTGCACCTGCTACCCTGGGTTAGCCAGCTCAATTTGCAGCCCTACCCTCTTCTACTGAGCTGTGGTGCCAGCGTCTGCCTCAGTCGGGGGTGTGAAGCCAAGGCACACGTATTTCATTTAAAAAAATGTTCAATGGTCAGAGTAGGACTTGGGGAATCTGACAGCCTTCTGTAAGCCTCCATGCAGACATCCTGTATTCCTGAGACATTCTGGAGTCTCAGGAAGGACAGGAAGAGATCAGGGGAGAAATGGAGCATGGGAGAGGTGGTTTAGTAACGAAGATTAAGTTTCCCCTGCGCCTCTCTGAGCTACCTTTACCATTGTCCACTACAAACTCTTGCTTAGCCCAGTGTCCTGGTTCTCTTGCTCCCCGTCTGGTCTCTGCTTATGTGCCCACTCAGAACACTTCTGAAGGCCCCCATGTCAGGCCACCACCACATCTAATACCTGTATTCGTAGCTAGAAACAGCTTAATTTCCCAAGTCCAGAAGCTGGTGCACTGCAAGGATCTTAGGAGACAGATTTGGCAATTAAACCCAATTGCCCTAAAATAGATGACTGGATCAGGAAGATGTGGTATATACACACAATGGAATATTACTCAGCAATCAAAAAAGATTAACTCATGCCTTTTGTGGCAATCTGGATGGACCTGGAAGAGATCATGCTTGGTGAAATAAGCTAGAAGGAAAAAAAAGAACAATGGTTCCACTCATAGCAGGAGTGTAAGGAATCAGGAAAAAAACAAAAGCAATTATAATAAAGTAAAAATGAAAATCAACAAACAACTATAAACCAGAGACAGTCTATGGGGGTGGAGAGGGGAACAGGATCAAAACGGGGGTGGGAAGAACACACGGGACTATGGTGATGGCTCATGGGTGAAGGGGTGGTGGGAAGTCCCAGGGGATTACAACTGAGATGAAGAAAAATGTACAACATGAAGAATGATGTAAAAAAAATACATATATATATATATATATAAAGTAAAAAATATGTAAAAAAAAATCAGTGGTGCCCTGGATCCTCTAGTCTGTGGGATAAGCTTTAGTGCGAGCATCTCCCGTGCCCGGGATGGTGGAGCCAGCAGGTGTGTGGGGGTGGGAGGTGGGGTACTCACAGGACCACATCAGGGGGCTTCCAGGCTTTGCTGTGCTGTCCACCCCCATTCACTTGAAGCCTGTTCACATGGCAACAGAATGTCACACAGAAAGTAAACACCAAGAGCTCCAGTTCGGTTTGAAGAAACATCTTCATCCCTTGAAAATGGGCCATAGCTTGTGTGAGGAACTCCTGATCCTGGATCTCATACAGGCAGTGGAGCAGCTGCAGGGGGCCAAGCTGGGAGGAGGGGCTTGCCTGCTGGGCCTCCTCCAGGGCCCACTGCAGCAGTTCCCGCCGCCTAGCTTCAGAGAGCCTGCCGCTGAGGGTGCGCTCTGTCTCTGTCACCCCCTGCTCACTCAGAAGGCCAAACAGGAAACGTGTGGCTGGTGACCCGAAGACATCATTTCTAGTCAGTTCTAGGAACTTCCCCACACTTCTGGTGCTGTTGGGATCATCGTTGTCTTCCTTGTCTTCTCCCAGCACACAGGACATGGCGGCCAGGAACTGCTGGAGACACAGGTGAATGAAGCTGTAGCTCTGAGCAGAGGGGGGCTGCTGGGGATCGCCCATCGGCAAGAGAGCGGAGACGATGGCGCCCTCCACACCGTGCTTCTTGAGGTCTTCCACAGTGAAGAGGGTCTTTCTCTGCTGGATGCCCTCAGCAGCCAGAGAGCACAAGCCTCTCAGCTGCGTCCCGAGGGGCTGAGTGGGCAGAGCCAGGGACAAGTACTGCAGACACAGGGCCGTGGTGGTCTGGGGAGTCAGCGAGAGCTCTCGCCCCTGCTCCATCTGCTGCCTCAGGCAGGTGCAGGCCAGCCAGGACACCCAGGGCAGCTGACACAGGGCCCAGAGCGCGTGGTTTGACTCCACCAAGCTCAGGGCTCTGCTTGCTTGGCCTTCGTCTGTGAAGTATTTGCAGAAATATTCCCTCTTGCCAGACTGAGAGAAGCCCAGCACCTCCACCCATTGTGGGTGCTTCAAAGACGGAATGAATTTCTCTAGAGCGCTGGTTCTTGCGGTAATCAACAAGGATGCCCTGAGAAACACACTTTTCCTCAGCAGCTGGCTCAGAATTGAGCGTAATGGCTGCTTCTGGTTCCACAGTCGAGGGAGGTCACGTCTTTTCTTCTCTAAGTCCCATTCTGGCTCATCCAGGCCATCGAGGATGAAGAGCAGCTGCTCTGACTGAGACAGGATCTGGCCAATGGAAGCCCCAGGAGCAGCCCCATATTCTTTGATGAACTTAGTGAAACTCATTGTCTGTGATGGGTTCAGTTCCCTGCAGTTGAAGTAGAAGACGTGCCAGAAGCGGTCCCTGTACAGCTGGCCTTCCAGCCAGGCTCTCCTCAGCTGCCTGACCAGGGTGGACTTCCCGACTCCAGCATCCCCATGCAGTATGACCGTGTGAACCTTCTCCTGGGCACCCAGCCCTGGGCCAAATAAACCTGTGATGTCAATAAAACATCCTGGTTCTTCCACCACTGGATGATGCCAGTTTCTCTTGATTATGAACTCATGGCTTCTGGGGTGACTTGTGTGTAGAAGTAACAGCTGTATGAATTTGGGGTATAAATCCTCATTTTTCAGTGACTGTGTGGGACAGAACCGTTCTGTTTTTTGTTTCTGGTATCTTTCTCTGGCTCCTAATTTGGGGAAGGAAATGGAACATAAGGATGTAAAATAGATTTTTAATTTGTTCATTTCTTCTTCTATTCCTTCCTCCTTCCTTCCCCTTCATTTCCCTTCTTTCCTCTCCCCTCTTCTTCCTTTTCCCTTTCTCTTTGTTGTTTTTATTTTTGAAGTGGAAAGTAGCATGACTAATTCACGCAAATGATTCTTCAAGACTGGGGCACATTTTAAGAGCATGGATTTTACAACTTGACACTTATTTGAGTACAAAAGAGGATTCAGAAGTACAAAAAAGTAAAATATCTTTGAACATGAGATCTCTCCTCGCCTGATGCTTCAATGTCTGCCTGGCCTTGTTGCCCAGATGGCAGAGGGAGTAGCTTGTCGGGCTTAATGGTGTGGACTGAGGTGTCTGACAGCTGAATCCCACCTCTGCCACCACGAACTGTGAACTTGTAACTTTAGAGCCTCAGTTTTCTTATTTCCAGGTAGGGTAATAACAATATCTATTTCATAACTGGTGTGTAATTGATGTGTATAGCAAGGGAAGCACTGGACATAAAGCCTGGCAGTATCCAGCAAATCTTTACAGCCATGTGGCTTCCTGTTGACCTCTTGGAGGCTAAGAAGCTCAGAGGAAATCAAATCCGTCTGTCCTGAACCCAGGCCAGTGCCTTATTCACTAAACCAGGGAATGTGCTTTTCTCTGCTGGATGATGAACCAAGGTTTGAATCTCTAGGGACCTCCAAAAAACAGTGAATTAGCCAGAAATCCAGTGGTGGGGCCATTTTTTTAAAATTTTATAGTAGTTTATTTTTACATATTTTTGTGCATTTTTCCATCTCGGTTGCAATCCCGTTGGGTTTCCCATCACCAAATCACCTGTGCCATCACCATAGTCCAGCGCATTACAGTGGGGCCAATTTTTAAAAAATAATATAATAGTTAATTGTTATATCATTTTGTGCCTTTTTCCACCTCAGTGGTAATTCCCGTGAGCTTCCCATCACCAGATCACCCGTGTGCCATCACCATAGTCCAGTGCACTTTCCTCCCCCCCACCGTTTTTGATCCCATTCCCCACTCTACCCCCATAAAATGTCTCTGGTATGTAGTTGTTCATTATTATTATTATTTTCTCAGTGGGGCCGATTTTTAGAAAGATGCTTCAGATATTTGCAAGTCCCTCTCTGCTGAACCTGTCAACCTGACCTCCATCCATGCCCATGCCCTGCTAAATCCTCTCTAGAATCTCTAGGACCTCACCTCTGCAGGGATTTCCAGATGTTTCCACCAAGGGCCATCCAGTCTCAGGAACCTTCTGCTTTCTGGGCTCTGGGCTGGGCTGAATTAGGGGTTCCCAAGCCCCTAGCACTGCAGTGGAAATGGGGGCATTGGGCGACTCCTGGTTTGGTGACTGATGATCTGGGGAGCTTGGAAGAACTTGGTAAAGGCATGAAGAATGATTTTCTGGGGGTGGAGTGAGGGAAAACAAGAAAGAAATTACCATTTACTAAGTATCTTTTTATTTTATTTTATTTTATTTTATGTTTATACATCTGCATTTTGAGTCTTCCCAACAATCTTACAAGGTGAATGTTGGTTATCCAGTTTTTTAAAACATAAAGATAAGAATATAGTTTGGCTGGTTTGGAACTTTCTCTTGGCAAGCAAAAATTTCCTTCATTAGGTAGAAAGATGTTGATAAGATATTTGGGGGGAGTCTTAAGCTCCCCATTTCAAGTAACAACTTATAGCAATTACATGACATTCTAAAGAGCTGGACCCTCTTTACTCTTTTGTCAGACATTAAAATTTAAATTATGCAAGTTGGGGGCAGAGAGGAATTGCTGTGCCTGGTAGCCTAGACACTGTGCAGGAAGGGAAGAGGGAAGAAAGCTGGTGGGCACAAGAGGAAACTTGGCTGGAGAGAGATGGAACCTGTCTAGCTCTCTCCTACAGTACTTCTGCACAGTATCCATCATGTCCTTGGACTGAAATGCAAATGTTTTTTCTTGTGTACAGTACAAAGATGTGTATATTATTACTGTGAGGGATCAGGTGGTGTGTGGAGTGAAAACTGAGCAGCATGAAGGCTCGGATGAGGACAGTGAGACCTCAGGGGATGCAGCGACCTGCCACATGTCATAGAGTAAGGGGGTAAAGTCAGGAAGAAAACCAAGTACCATGAAGCTAAGGCTCATAGCCATCACTGGCAGCCCTGTGATGAGGAGTGAGGACGGCACCGAGGGAGGGAGAATGAAGGGAGGAAGCTGGGGTTGGGACCAGTGCAGAGCAGCAGCAGCAGTGGCGAGTGGTCCTGGGCTTCAGCCCTGGCTCTGTCTTCAAGTGCTGTGTGAGTGCGGATGCACCTGCTTGCCCAGCCCTGCTGCAGCATGGCCGCATTGATGCAGGATGAGAAGAGGAAGAGGCTGCAGCTGAGGTTTGCAGCTTGAATGATTCAGGATTGTGGAGGGTAAAATAAGAGAAGTCAGGAGAGGGAAGTGACTTGGGCTGAGTGATGAGCCCACATTCTTCTTGGCACTCCTCTGGAGAACAGAGTTCTTGGAACTTTCTGTCCTCAAGGATCTAGCGAAATTATCCACTGAAATTAATGAGCTGAGCTCTCCTGGCCAAGGACCATATCACCACCTTGGCTATGTGGGCATCTAATTCCCCATCGTCAAGTTGGAGGGGTGTGATCCCAGCACTGGAGTATTCCTGACACTGCTCCTATGTCCCCACCTGGGCTCTCTTCCCTCTGCAGCTCCTCCACCCCAGGTGCCCACCCACCCACAGGTTCCCAGGCGGAAACCCATAAGCTGGGTCCCCCACAGCTTTATGGTGCCTTTGAGCCACCTCTGCAAGCCTCACCTTTCCAGCTGTGTCCAGAGGTCTCAGGCAGGTGTCTCACAACCCTTTGCTCTGGACGCTGGGAGGACTCCAGGCTCTCACTGTCCCAGCCCCATAGCACGTTGGTGGGCGTGGGCCAGCTGGGGGACTCCAGGTTGGGTGCACTCGGGGAGCAGTGGGCTGAGGAACTCTGGGCTGTGGGGGTGACAAACAGGTTGGGGCCTTACAGAAGCGCCAGGCAGAGCCAGGACTGAGCGGGCTCCTGTGTGCTGAACATCCGGGTCTCAGCTAAGAGGGCTCGGGAGGAGATGTGGAGGTACCCAGCCTGGCTCACCACCCCAGAGGCTCATGGGAGGGGGTGTGTAGACAGACAACTGGGCAACTGATCAGATCTTGATCTGGGACCCAGGAATGGGAATTTCTGTCCTGGCCTATTGCCACCTCCCTGTGAACATCATGACCCTCCGTGAGCCTTCTGGAAAGGAGCCTCAGTTCTCCCTTGTAGTCAAAGCGCCTCCACCTCCTGGCTGCTTATAGCAACAGCAGCAGTGCGGCAGACACAGCAGCAGGCTCCTCCATGACTGAGCGCTTATAGCCCATGGATCTGTGCTGTACACTTACTATGGATTATCTCCTAATCCCCCATAGCCCACAGCAGCAGGCTCCATTCTCTGTATAGATGGAAGAGCTAAAACCGCGAGTGGTGAAGCAACTGCACTAATGTGGTCAACCAGGAGGCCAGGAGGTGCCCACTTGGGAGCTGCCATGAGTCCCATTCCTCTCCCTACAGAGCCCATCTGAAGGTCAGTCTCCTCTGTCCCCAAGGACTCTCCTGGGCACTGTGCGATCCTGGAAAGTTGGCAGATGAGGGGCTCAGTAAGGGCTGCCTAGTCTGGGCCTGGATACCCTTGGGACTAATGGGCCCAAGTCTCTGACTAGAGGAAGGTCTGGGAGTATGCCGTGGTGGATGCCACGGTGACAGGGGTGGGGGCCACAAAGTCATAGACACCGGAGGGCACTTTGTCTACTCACCTGAAATGAATTCTGCCTCTGCCTGGGCCTGGGCGCACAGCCCACTCAAGCCCATATTCTTCCAGGTGTGGAGGGCCAGGTCCCAGGCCTTCTGCTCCCCATATTGAGCCACCAGATAGGAGGCCACCTCGAGACCCCCTGTCTTGTCTGGTTTGACTGGGGCCCCACCAGAAGAGAGTCCTTGCAGCTCCTTCCTAGGCAGCCGAAGCTGGAACTCCTTCAGGTCCTCCTCACTCATGATATCCAGGTACATGGCCAGCTGAAGCTGGGCGTCACTGGCCATCTTTTCTCCAAGTAGATGTGGGCGGGGTTGGGGGTGGGGTGGGAAGGAGCTTGGAAATATTCAAAGAGAAGGAGTTGGGTGTTGGGAGGTGATTGCCAGGCAGAGAACAGTGACTGCCTTTGCCCTACCATCTCCCAAAGCAAGACAGCAGAGATCATCCCTTCTCTGGATAAACTCTGATAAGCCTCCTGGTAGACCTACTCATGACCCAGCTTTGAAACCAGGGCATAGGCCAGTGATACAGATACACTTCCATGGAAGGGGGAAACCATTTCTCTGTCCATTTTTAGGCAGTCGCCTTAGATTATAAGTCCCAGTGTGCCAGAAACAGAACTTTCTGGCAGGGGAGGTTGGGGAACTGGATCAGAGCTGAGCAGAATATAGAACATGGAAGGCAGGAGAGACTGTGGCTCTAGCTTCTGTGGCCCAACTTGTACCTGGCACTTCTGGGAGGAGGAATTGGGAGAGACATGGAGGAGATGGATGCAGAGACTTGAGAGAAATCCTTGGAAGAGACATGTGGGAGGCGTCCCCGCCCCAGGCAAGGCCGCCCTTACCTCAATTGGTATTTCTTCCTGCCCTGGACTCTGGGCCTCATAGCCCCTGTTGTGGCTCCCTGTCACAGTTTTCTAGACTGGTGCCAGGTGTCAGACCTCAGCAGCTGCACTTGTGGCTAAACTCTCTGGCTGGGCACTTGCCATAAGGGGAAAGGGAATTTGGGAGTTTTTGGTGGGAAGTTCTATTAGGGATATTGTCACTGTTGTCTGTGTACACGAATCTTATTAATGGTTGTCACTGAGAGTCTGCCCCTCGGCTGCTCTGTGATGGGTGCTGGACCCCTGTAGAGTGTGAGCCTGTTAACATTGGGGTCTCAGGGGGCCCCTTGGTCACCTGCTAACACTAGTTGTTGGTGTTGGGAATATAGGGTATAGAAGGGGAGGGAAAGCCATAGCAGGGGGACCCTGGGGCTGGGAGGCCTGGAAGAGGTCAGGAGTCCGGGTGAGAGACTGGCCCAGGGGCCATTCAGGGGAGAGTGTGGCGAGCGGTGGGCTGGAGGAATATGTGATACTCACTGTTCGGTGTCCTCAATGTCTTTCCTCTCCTGGGCCTGGACTCTGCAGTCCCACCCTTGAACTTTGTCTGTCAGGAGGGGGAGTCCCAGACGTGGGTGTTTTGGAGGATGGAGCTCAGTGCGCCCTCCTGCTCTCAGCCCCTCCTGGCCCTGGGACACCCACTAGGAGAGAGTCCCCAACCAGGCAGAGCAGGAACTGTTGCCCAGAGGAAACCACATGGGGAGTGGCCAGGACAGGGAGGGGGAGGATGGGGGACTGTCTCAGTTAATAAACATTCCCACCCAAATAGGGCAACCCCAGCCCACCACCAGCCCTTGCCCAAAGCCACTCCCCTGGGCACAGACAGATTTGCTTCTGTTTTTGTAAAGAGGTAGAGCTGGGGACTGTGGCGTCCCCTTCCCCTTTCCTGCTGGGGAATAGTGTCTGGGGGCGCCTGCCTTGGCCTGGGCTGGAGGAAGCCAGGCCTGACGGGTGGCAGCTCAGCTCCCGCTTGGACACGGACCCCTTGGGTGTCTGATTCTTTTCTTGGGGCCTCAGTTTGCTCATCATTTTGCCGCCCAATGCCAGCCGTCTTTTTCCCTTTGGCTGATAGAAGGAACCGTGTTTGAGGAGTAGGAAAGTAGTTCAATTTGCTGACAGACTGAGGAGGGCGGCAGACTCGTGCCTGAGACCCTCATTCTGCCCTTCCTCCTGCTCCTGGCAGGTGCCTGGGGACTGATCTAGAGTTACAGAGAGGAGGGGGAGAGACTTGCGACAAATATCTGGTGATTCTCTTGGACCCGGCTCAGCTGCAGTCATGTGGCAGCAATTCTGATGTCATCTTTACAGCGAAGCTCAGACCTCTTTTGAATAAAACTGAGTTTCTGGAATGCTACTACAGGGCCTGAGTTCAGGGAGCAGAGACCCACAGCCAGGATGAAACTTCAACCTCAGAGGAAAGTGCTTTCTGCAGCCTCTGACCTGAGCCTGAGGAGGCTGGTGTGGGTACTCACGGCACTTGTCTGCCCTCCTGTGAGCCCTGTTTAGAGGAGTCCAGGCCTGCGTGTTGGGGCTCCCCTGTCTGTGCTGAGCCTGTCCCTGCTCACAGTGAGGGGGCAGCTGAGCCTCCCCAGACAGGCATCAGCTAAGGCCCATTGGGCACCAGGCAAACCTGTCTCTGTACAAGCTCCGGGGCCCAGTCTCAGGCATCCGGACTCAGTCCCGGGCTCCCAACACCCTGGACATGTGGGAGTCTGCGGAAGCCCTGGGAGGGTCCTGCTCAGGCCCCTGCTCTCCCTGTCCCCTGCCCCCCTGGGCTGCAGCCCAGCTCTTCTTCCTGCCTCTGGAGTCCCAGGCACAGGGCTGACGGAACAGGCCATCTAAGGACCTCACTCACAGGGATGGACAGTCATCACATTGTCAACCCCTTAACTCCCATGCAGATCTCCAGGCTCCTCTGGGACTCTCTGGGGTGTTATTTAGTAGATCCCCAAGATCTGGACTTTGTTAATCAAGTCAATTTATGCCGAGAGTAACCCTGGTCCTGCAGTGGTCACTCCCGGCACTGCAGTGGTCACTCCCGGCTCTGCAGTGGCCGCTCGTCGATAAGCCATCTGCTGACCAGATGTTGGGCTCCCCTGAGCTGGGGTATCGGATCCCTGAGTCCAGCAGGTGTCGCTGCCTCAGGAGCTGGGCATGGCTGGCTGTGAGGACACCTTAGGGTCCTGCAAGTGACTGACCCAACATCCCTGAACCCTGGGCCCCAAGGACCCACTCCGGATTGTCCACTCCTATCCTTGGCCTTAGAGCAGCCCGACTGTTTGTGCAGAGTGAGTGACCTGGAGCGAGCACCAGCTGCACTGCTCTGAGGCGGAGGGCTGACCCCCAGGGATGGGCCCTGTTCCCTCCCCTCCTCCAGGGAGCATGACCCGTGGCCTGCTGGGTGTGGCCACCCAGGCTGCTGCGGGTGGAGGCCTGAATGGGGGAGGTGCTCCTGTGCCTGTGGCCACAGCGATGCTTCCTGCAACTGCCCTGTTTAAACTAAACGTTAGCCTCAGAGGAAAGTGCTTTCTGCAGCACTGGCTATGTCTGTTCTCAGTGTGGGTACCCCTGACTCAGGTTGTCTCGGGTGCGGCCACCGCCCCTGTGGGATGAGCCAAACCTGGGTCTGTCCAGAGCAGGCCCGAGGGGGCCCAGGCTTCCCTGAGTCCTGAGGAGCTGCAGTGCTCCCGGGAGGAGCTGCTCAGGCTGGCTCTGCTGGAGCAGATGAACTGAGTCATTGTGGACCCTCCATTAGTACATGTTGGGGTGCTCTGCTCTCCCTCCTAGGGCTTCAGCTCAGCAAGGCTCTGTGGTTTCCTGCGTGAGGCTTTGCTCCAGCTTCCAAGCCAGGACTCAGGCAGAGGAGCTGGCTGCCAGGAGGTGACGCCAGACCCGTCCAGATGTGTGGGGTTCTCTGAGCAGACGTCCTGGGCTCAGGCCCTGGGTCACACTGGGAGTCCTGACTGGGCAGCAGAAGGACTGTGTGAGGCCGAGGCAGCAGCTCAAAGGATCTCAGGACAGACAGTCTGGAGGCAGAATCCCGAGGTGACGTCAATGTTAACCCAGCTCAGGTGTCTGGGAAGCTGGGCTGGAGGAGACTGGGGAAGGGGAAAGAGACCGTCAAGGCCCGAGGGGAGACCACCCTGGTGGGCAGTGGGGACTATGTGGGCAGTTTGGAGATGGGAGAGGCCATCTTAGACGTGTGGCCTGGTTCAGGAGAGGAGCTCTGTGTGGTCAGTGGCCTGTGGAGGACTGAGTAATCCTGGGATTTGGGTACAGTAAAGGCCATATTGGCCTAGTAAATCTTCATTTTTTCTTGGCTTATGAAATAAATTTCTTTGTTGCTTCCTAAGTGGTCTTGTAATTGTGCATGTGGGTGAAGAACCCACACAGAAACCAGCAAATGATCTGGGCAGTGGTTTTGGCCTGGTTTGGGCCCCTGCTGACCCGTACAATCCTTTCAGGCCCCCACCTCCCTCCTAATAGCAGGCCTCCTGCTCCCTCAGCCTGTGGTTCACCTAGGCTAATCCTAGGTGGCTTACCCAGCCTCCACTTTGTTACCTCCAGCTCTGCATTCCTAAAGCAAGGTCATAACTGCCTGGTCATAGGAGTCCAACCTACAAGGTACTTGTCACATCAGTTAAGAGAAGAAAGCTAGACCACCCTGGGAAGGGAATGTGTCTCGAGGTCTGACAGGCAATGGGGGTGGTTGACTGATGTATAACAAAGGACCCCAGAGGCTGATCCATGATGCCTTATTGATAAGACTGAAATCCTGACTGGGGAGTCAGGGCTGGATCTATATACCGAGCTACCAGAAGGTGAGAAATACAGTTCCACTTTTCCCCTTTTTCTTCTATGTCTCTCTTTTTCCACTTCCTCATGTGACTAATGCTGTATGCTGGTTTATCAATAAAAAGCCAGGATCTTGCTCTTCAGCAGCTTCCTGCATTATGTAGCTGCTCCATGAATCTTGTCTCTTTATCAGTGTGGTGTTGCCTGACGCAACATCGGTTTGCACGTGTCTTTCTCAGGGAGCCAAGTGCACCCCTGGGCGCCTCTCCACTCCCCCACGTGTCACTCTATGTGGATGCCTCAGTTTCTCTCCAGCTCCTCAGGTGTCGCTCCCCTGCTACCTTCATCCTGCCCTGCTGTGCCCAGTTGGATGCAGTTTATGCTGTGACATGCCCACCGGTCCCTAGGACCAGGGCTGTGGGAGACTGGCTCTGGGTCAGGCCTGATTGTGACCTGGGAGACCCAGGTTCAACAGATGAAAATGCTGCTCTAACAGGGAGCTGGAGTTGCATGTGTGGGAAATGGGGGTGATAAGGGTACTGGAGTGGTATTAATTTAATCAGGTTACTATCTAATTCCCTAAGAGATAAAAAGCAGTTGCTTTTTAAAATATTTTCTTTCTTTCTTTCCCCAGAACCAGCGGGAAGAAGATGGCCCCACAGACACAGAAGGCAGGACCAGGATGACTAAGGTGTTTACGAATCATGTGACATACAAAGCCACTTGTGGCCTGTCTGCTCCGGCCATGTGTGTACAGCACAGCCTAAAACCCAACCCCATAAATGCAGACCCTCCATCACTCTCAGGTTGAGTTGTGGCCCAGGGCAGTTGCTGCCTCTCTCCTGTGTGTAGTCGCAATATATACTCTGTGCTAAAATCTGTTATTGGCTGATTCACAGTCTGTGGGGCTTCATTGCTGGAAGCCAGAAAAGACTCATTAGAGAGTGTCATAGAATGGAGGGTCACTGAAGATCGGTGGCCCCTGAGTGTGTGACCGTTCCTGAGACCAGCAGTGGAACTGGAAGGACAAGGCCATGAGCAGAGGCCCTGTTGGGCGGGGCCCCGGGTGCCTCAGGGCAGCGGATCTGAGCTGGGGGTAAGGGCAGGACTCATAGGAGGAGGCTCCACCTCCCCTGTCCTGGCTTCGGGGACTCCATGTGGCTCTAGTGACAGCACACACAACAGAACACACAGAGAATACAAGTACAACATCGACAAGTAAAAAAACCTGGTTTTTCCTCATCACAAAACATCATCACACCACCCCTAAGGTGTCTGTTGTCATTGTCTCAGCCTAAGTGGCCAGTGCCATGTCCCCTGCCCCTTCCTCTGGATGCCTAGGGAGGGTCCCCACCACACAGGCTCTGGGGGACTAAGTTCTCAGGTCCAGCCCCAGCATGTCATCCCCTGGGCAGCTGCCTGTGAAATTTGGGGGCAGCTGGGTGCCTGGGCGGTAACCCTGGGCATGGACATCATTGCCTAGAGTCCACAACAATTACAGCAAGAGGCAACTCAGGTCTGCTACTTTAGAGATGAAGAAACTGAGACTCAAGAGCCACCAGGAGGGCAGGACTCATGCAGGGTGCAGAAGTCCCCGGCCAAGCTCGGCAGGAGCCCTCAGCGTCCTCCACTGTCCCCCCTCTCCCAGAGTTCACCAATTAGATGGGGGTGGGTCTCCTTCAGGGCTTGGTAGAGGCGGTCTTTGCAGGCCCAGTCCCAGGCCCTGCTGAAGCTGAACAGCTTGCGCATCTGGGCCTGCTTGGTGGCCTCGGCCCTGACGGCCTCATACTGCTCCTCACTCAGCACCTCCCCGAGCAGCTTGTCCAGGACAGGGTCCACGGAGGTCACTCGCGCCACCAGCTGCTCCCGACACTGGTCCACGAAGTGCTCCGACTTTGGTGCTCCTGCGGTGAGGTGAGGCTGCAGTGAGTCAAGAGCAGGGCCACCGCAGCCTCCACCTGCCCCCACCTCTGGTATCGTCATCACTTCCTCTGCACTGGCCCCTCCTGAGATGCATTTGGCCACCATGAAGTCCCTCTGACCCCCACCTGTCAGCCTCCAGCCCAGCTTTCTCCTTGCTCTGGGGTGTGGGGTGCAGTCACTGAAGGAGGCACTGAGGCTCCCGAGGTACAGGCTCCCTGGGGGGCGTGGGAGATGGGCCCGGCTCACACCCCTCTCCAGGCCCGACCCCGTGGGGTTTGCCATGTCCCTTCCCTCCGTCCAGCACCACGTGGCGCCCAGAGCTGCCCTGGCTCCTGTGTCTCTCGGCTGCTACTGACCTTTCGGGGCTGCAAAAACCGGCGCGGTGGCTTGTTTGAGGTCTCCTGAGGACAGAGAGACATTGTGACAGCGGGTTCTGAGTCCACTTGATCCCCAGTCTCTCACCCCCTCTGACAGTCTGAGATTCTGATACAAGGTACTGAGAAACTGTGATAGAATCTGGGGTAAGGCTGGAGGGTCTCAGAGATCACGTAGGTCAACCTTTTCCGGAGGCAAATGGGCAACGGAGGCCCACGGGTCATGATGAGAGAGACAGAGACCGCACAACGGGGATTTCTCCCACACTGGCCGAGACACGGCTGAATCCTGTCGCAGCCTAAACAGATCCCTGGGGCAGACGCACCATCTCCCTGCATAAGCTGTTTGAGATCTGGGATCTGGCAGAAGTTTCCCGACTTGTCCTGTTGACTGTCATGCATCAGATCCACTTGGTTCTGGATCTGGGTGTCAGAATGAAAAGCTGAGATCAGGAAAAACTAAGCCCTTAGGAGTATTTGTACATTTCAGTAGGAAAAAGTAGCATAACCAGCAACAAATGAATAGGCTTACACATGACCTGCGTTAGGGGGGTGGGATCCACGTCACTTATGTGGACAAGGCCTGGGAGTGACAGACAGGCTCAGTGTCACCCCACTGCGGGAGGTGGCCCAGGAGAGGGGAGCTCAGGGTGAGGAGTGGGAGCACGGGGGTGCGCTGGATGGAGGGGGAAGGTGTCCCACGTCCTCCATGATGCCGAGATGGCCTCAGGGTCCCTCCTAACTCAGTCACACACTGGACATCTGCTGAGGACGGCAACTGAATCTCGAAGAGGTTGACAACCAAGGTATCAGGGGATACCGGGATGTTTAACCCCTAAGAGGAGATGTGAGGACACTGGTTTTCACGGTCTTCAGGCACCTAAGGGCTTTCCCAGGGACGGGGACAGATTCTTCTCTCGGCTCCAGGTGACAGACTAAGACTGACAGGAGGAAGAACCTGTCTGAATACAAGGGAAGACGCTGAGGTTGCTCTATTTTTCAGGATCACTGAATGGGACATGTGCCAAGATCACTGAATTTAACCTTCCCAAACCCCCCAGCTTGGCATCTGATCCTCATTTCACTCATGAGGAACCGGAGACCCCAAGGGGTTAAGTAAGTTTCCCAAGATCACCCACAAGTGAGAGCCAAGGGGACTCAAACCCCAGTGGGAGCAGGTTGAGGTAGAATACCCTGCCCACCCCTCACTGTCTCTTGTAGCAGCTCAGAGGCAGCCCCCCCCTCCCCCCGCTGTCCATCAGGGGGTCCCTACAAGGCCTGTTTCTCAGGTTAGAGCTTTTGGTGATCCCTGAGGCTCAGAGTCTGATTAACTGTAATTCACACCTTGCCCTGCCTGCTGCTACAGGACTAGAAAAGCCATATAACCTATTTTCTCTCTTTTCATTTGCAAACTGAAATCCCCACACCCCCTTCTCTCTCTCTCTCTCTCTCTCTCTCTCTCTCTCTCTCTCTCTCACACACACACACACACACACACACACACACACACAGGATGATTTTTTCCACCTTAAGCTGTCTGGACTTGACTTGAGTTACCTGGTCTCACCAAGGCCTCCCACACCAATGTCCCATCTTCCTTGTTCTGTATTTGCAGCCGGATCCCTGACTCCATCTGTCCAACACAGATCTCACTGAAGAGCTGCATCTTCCCAGGGCTCCGATAGCAGAGCTTCAGATTCTGAGTAGAGAAAGAGTCACTGTGTGAAAAGTCACTGCTCACCTGCAGGGGTGTCACTTTGACACCTCCTGAGCTCTTGCAGGCCCCAGGAGCACTCAGGTGACATGTCTTGGAACGAGTTCCCAGCCTCAGACTCTGCCCTGTTCCCCATTTCCACCAGTCCTGACTCTGAAGGATGATAAAATAGCAGGGTGATCCATGCATGAGTCAGGACTCACCCTCCATGGTGTGACCACATCTCCTGGACAGATCTTGTCTCTCCATCTTCTCCAGGTGTTCTTCCTCCGTCTTCTCCTTATTAAGCCCAAACCCTCTCCCCTGTAGTGGATGTCATGTCTTTGGAGTGGATTTGCAGCTTGATCCACTTTCCATGAACAGAAAAATCTCATTGACGCCTCTCCTCATCATGGTCTAGCCTGGACTCTGCTGCCCAGCTCTTCCCCCCACAGGCTCCTTCCCACTTAGCCTCAGACACAGCACGTGGCCTCAGCACCCCAGTCGCTCACATCCCGCTCCCAGGCTTCACCCTTAGAGCCTCCCTTGATCTGTCCCCGGCGCTGACTCACGTCCTGTTAGCTCTTCTCCAGCACCTGCACCGTGTCCATGACCTTTCTGCGCCTCACGGCTCTCTCCTGCTCAGAGCCCAGCACCTCCTGCCGCAGCCTCAGACCCCTTTCTACTGCCTCAGCGTCTGCTCTGCCCTCCTGAGCCCACCACTTCCTAACATCCAGGGTCATTTTG